CTGAGTTACTCAACTGAGGCTCCAAGGGGTAAACATTAGCAGAATAAACAACATTCTTTTTGCAATAAATAATATCACTACATAAATGTCATACGTTTTTGATGATTATGCCTGACCACCACTTGATCCTGATGGTGGAGTTGCATTTTTTTTCAATAGCTGAGACATCCAGTAACTAGGAAAAATGGACTTTTCCTGTTGAGCAGATTATTGAGAGGAGTAATGGGTTGTGGTGAGGAAATCTTTATGGGAAGATCATTTTGCCTTTTTCTTCCAGTTTCTCTGAGACAGTAGCTGAACCTCCCAGTCCACAGGATGCCCTTGGGAAACCACCTGAACCTGAACCCCCTGAGCAGCCTCTGCCTCCTCTGGCCCAGCGGGAGAAGAAAGCCCCTCGACCCCCAAAGAAGAAGTACCAGAAGGCAGGACTCTACTCTGATGTGTACAAAACCACAGAGTAAGTAACAGCACTGCAGAGCTGCTCTCAATAGTCCAGGAGAAACTCTCTCTTTTCACCTAGAACCAGAAAGTAGCTGAAACAAAGCAGCAACTTAACGTGTGAAAAATGACACGGGTGACAGTTGTCAGAATCTGAGCCAGGGAAGGGGTAAAATGTCAGCCCAGGCAGAAGTCAGTCTATGAAAAGGTGTCTGATTGCTGAGCCTGGAGAAGGTAGGAGCTTCATTCAGCAGTTCTCAGGGTGCTGGGAGAGCTGGAGTTCTACCACACAGAGAGAGGCTGTTAGGTTTGTTGGCATGGGTTGAACGGTCACAACTGGTCATGTTCTGTGTGAAGGAATTTCAGACACGTTCTCTGGTCATTTCTCAGTTGATCTCCATTTTCTGTGAGATGTTTAGGGTAAAAATCCAGTGTTCCTTTACTCTTCGTGCTTGGCTCACAGCCTGGTGTCCATTACAACACCTTCCTCTTGCCCTTCCCTCTGTAGTCACATACATCTCTGCAGCCTCTGAACAAAGGAGTTGAAGTCAGGAATTTGTGCTTCTCTTCTAATAAGATCTGACAGATTGAAAAGAGAGAAATTTGGCCTCTTCTCAGTGTCCTAGACCACTTCAAAATGATACAGAGCCCACTGGGAAACTGCCAGTGTGGGTTATCAGCTGCTCCTGGTGGATTCTCTTGCCACAGTAGAATGGAAGCATCTCTGAGATGGAGGAAGTGAATGGCCCTAAGGAAAACACAAAGATCTAGGTCTGATCAAAGTGAGGCCACTCGTGTTTCTCATAGATTGGAGGAAGATGTGCTAAAACTTTGCTGCTCTGTCACAGTCATGCAGCATTCAAATAGAACAGTTTCTGTTTTCTTAGGAGAGGAGCTCAGAGTCTCCTCTTCAGTGTGAAATATCCTGAGCTGGAACATCACAGGGATCATCAGTCCAACTCCTGACCCTGCCCAGAACACCCCAACAATCTCACCCTGTGCCTGAGAGCATTGGCCAAACACTCCTGGAGCTCTGTCAGGTTTGGGGCTGTGAGCACTGCCCTGAGGAGCTGTTCAGTGCCCAAACACCTCTGGGGGAAGAACCTTGTCCTAACATCCAACCCAGCCCTCCCCTGACACAGCTCCAGCTCCTTCCCTTGGGTCCTGTAACTGGTCCCAGAGACAGAGGTCAGTGCTGTCCCTCCTGAGGGACCTGCAGGTGTCTTAACAGATTTGTCTTCCCTTTGCCTGTTGCTCTACTTGCTGAGCTCTTCCCTGCTCTGATAGTGGTTTTTGGGATGTGCTGCTTGAGAACACTGAGGAACTTGACCCTGCCAAGGAAGGAAATGCTGCCTCCATGCTCTGAGCTGCCTCTGCACTGGTGCTGAACCAGAGCATGGACATGAACTGGGCGAGGACAGAACTGTGCCCACCTCTGCGTAGGTGTCCTTCCAGCAAGGTGCAGCCTGGAGGGCTGATCCCACCATCCCACCAGTGCCCTGCTGGCACTGGGTCACTCCTGTACCAAATTGGTTCAGCAAACTAAATCCCTAGAACAATAGTCAGTTTTGGATTGGATTTTGTTCTGCTTTGATGTGCTGTCCCAGTTCTGCTGCACAGTCAGACACGGCAGTGCGAGCGAAGAGCAGAAGTTCATGTTGTTACCACATTTCTTTATGTAACTTCCTGCTGCAGGAGTTTTGAAACCCTGATGGGAGTGGAGAAGGAAATGCAGCTCACTGGTCGTGGGGCACCCTCTAGTGCTGTCACAGGGAGTGTTGTCCCTGGCCCCATTCCCACAGCCCCCGAGTCCTGCCCATGAGTTGTACTCCCTGTTTGCAGTGTTCACTTTGCCTTAAGGACCATTTTCTTTCTCTGATGCATAGAATCCTCAAGGTTGGAGGAGACCTCAGAGATCATCAAGTCCAATCCTTAACGTGTCACTGCTGGAACCCCTAAATTCTACACCAAAACCTCCAGTGACAGATCTAGACACCTCTTAAACAGCTCCAGGGATGTGATTCCAGCACCTCCCTGGGCCATTCCCTGCTCCAGTGATATCTCCTCTGAGTCTCCCCTGTCTCAGCTCATGGCTGTTCTCTCTGGTCCTCTCCCTGCAGGCCTAGCAATGTCTTCCTAATTATTTTCAGTTGTTGAGACGTCAGAATGAGTTTTGAACTTGCGTTTTCCATTCTCTGGTTAACAACAGCATCACATTTTTATTGAGTCAACTTTCAGTTACGTGACCAGTTATTAAAACAAGGCCCTTTAAAAAACTTCAGGAGGCTTCAATATCATTTAATCTTTGGTCTATTTAATGTTTCAAAGTCTCTTCTCAGTGTTGCAGGACTAAATATAACCACATCAGCTTTTATTTCCCAGTTTGTCAGTGGCCAAAAGGAGATGTTTCTAAAGGCCAAGTCACAGACTGACACCTGCCTGACCCATACAGCCATTCCAGCTTCACATTCCTCTTTTCCCTTCTGCAAAGGGAGTGTCTCATTGCTTTTAAACTCTGATTTCTCTCCTTGTCCTGCCATTCCCTCAAGGGGCAGCCCCTTAGTGTTCGCTCTCAGCACTGGAGGGGAGCAGGGCTGAGCTGTACATGTGTCACACGTCCAATTCCTCTGTAAACCCACCAGACATGATTTGTTGGTTATTTTCTACTTGTGTAGCTTTACTTACTACTTCCCTATCCCATTTCAAGTCGATTTGCTCCCATTAGGTGTTGCCTAAATGGAATAAAAAGACCTTTTGTGGTTCAGTGTGTTTGACCAGCAACCTGGAAATCAACTTTCGTGACCATTATTCTCTTGCCTGATGTTCCAGCCCCTCTGGAAAAGCAGAACATGTGTGTTTTGCCAATGACAGGTTCCTCACTGATGGTTTTATTGTGTCCCTGTCATCCCCAGCCCCAAGAGTCGCCTCATCCAGCTGAAGAAGGAGAAGTTGGAATACACCCCTGGGGAGCACGAGCACGGCCTGTTCCCAGCCCCTATCCATGTTGGTGAGTTCCTCGTGTGTCTGGGGTGACTCTGCACTGCAGAGTTTTCCATCTCTCTCCCTTCTCTCTTCTGGATCCCATTGTCAAATCACCTGTAGCTTTCACACCTGAGCTTTGCCAAAGGCCATACTCATCTCTCTCTCTGTGTTTCCCAGGGCAAAAATTTGACTTGAGGTTTTGTGCCTGAACTTTGTTCCCCGTTTTTTTTCTGTACCAGAAAATACCAGTCTGGTTTAAAACCTGCTTTGCTGTGATAATCCTTTGCTGAACTGCAGAGTAATAGTTTCCTTCTCAAAGGAACATTACAGTAGAATAGCCAGAGACAATTAGGACCGTTTGGTAAATCCCCAAAGCTGAGTATGGAATAATAAATTTCCCCATGTCCCTGTGCACTTAGTGGTGTCTTCACCTGCTGCCCACACTCCTATGGATGCAGCCTGGGATTCGTTCTCCCTCCTCACAGTCTCTGACCCTGTTTGGGCTGCAGCCACACTCCACCTCCTTCCCTGGCTCTGAGCTGCTCCTGGTGCTCCATATGGGAACGGTTTAACCCCAGAGCAGTGACCAGGTCTGGGGCTCTGCCAGGTGACTGCGCTGGTGCCCACTCAGGAGGGCTGGAGGGACCTTCCCCAGCTCCAGGCACAGTGCCAGGGGCACCTGAAAGAGCCTTTTGTTTGCCCTGCTGAGGTCATCGCAGTGAAAGCAAATTCCCGGCAGATCTAGCTCTTCCTGGAACTTACTAGGGATGAATAAGGCATTGAAAATGAGAAGTAATTGAGGAGTAAATTGTAAGGAAAACATTACCATTTTTATTTTCCATGGTGAGTGTGTGTGTGAATTTATATGAACCCACAGACCATTGCTGCAGGAACCAAAGGCACTTGGGAACACGGAGAAAAGCTGGAAAGAAAGCAGAGCTGGGCCTGTCTGCTCAGCTCACTGGATCCCACTTCCCCCCCAGTATTCCCCCCTCATTCCCCC